TGGACGGAGCAGAGGGGGGGTGTTGGTGCACTCTTGTAATAGATGAATTAGCTCTGAGTCAGTCCAGTACAACCTGGTATATGAACATCTCTTACTCATTTATACATCAGTTATAATAATCCAATAATATGACAAAAAATAACATAAAATCAGAGAGAGGGCTGGTCCTTCTCCTTCATCCTTCTGTCAGGCCAGCTTTCACCATCAACGCAGCAGACACATGGGTCAACCCACGAAAAGCGACAGGACCGGACAACATCCCGGGACGTGTGCTCAGAGTCTGCGCTGATGAGCTGGCAGATGTGCTGACTGACATTTTCAATATCTCCCTCAGTCAGGCCATTGTCCCCAGATGCTTCAAAACATCCACCATATTTCCAGTAGCAAAGAAATCAGTTGTAGCCTGTCTGAATGACTATCGCCCCATCGCACCGATGGTAATGAAGTGTTTTGAACGGTTCGTCAAACCACACATCACATCCAGCCTTCCTGCATCGCTTTACCCCCTTCAGTTCGCTTACTGTCCCAGCTGCTCCACAGAGGATGCAACATCCACCACCTTGCACTCCGTCATCACCCACCTGGAAAATAAAGACACCTACGCTAGATTCCTGTACATTTACGTTTAATACCATCATCTCCCAGAGACTAATAGAGAAACTCCTCCTACTCAGCCTGGATACCGCCACATGTCTCTGGGTCCTGGACTTTCTGACCGAAAGACCCCAGTCTGTCCGAGTCGGAGAGATCTCCAACTCCATCATGCTGAGCACTGGATTTCCTCAAGGCTGTGTACTCAGTCCACTGGTGTTTACACTGCTAACACATGACTGTGTAGCCACACATGAGGGGATCCAGATCATCAAGTTTGCTGAGATGAAGTGAAACACCGAGAGGGCTGGTCTGTAAGAACAACCTGCTGCTCAACGTGGACAAAACGAAGGAGATGATCATGGACTTCCAGAGGTCACGTCCTGAGCATGCTCCCCTCAGCATCAGAACATCAAGTTCCTCGGAGTGCAGATCTCACAGGACCTGAACTGGAATAAGAACACTGCAGTGATCATCAAATGGTCCCAGCAGAGACTGCATTTCATGAAGGAGCTAAAACAAGCCTCTCTCCCTGTCAGCATCCTCAGGACTTTTTACAGAGGTGTGGTGGTGAGCGCTCTGACATACTGCCTCTCAACATGGTGCTCCAGCTGCAGTATATCAGACAGAAAAGCCCTGCAGAGGATACTTAGAGGAGCTCAAGAACTTTTCCAGAGTTGCAGGAGCAGGACACTGAACATTATCAGGGACTCCTCTCAGCCTCTCCATAAACTGTTTTAACATTTATGGAGCAATAATGGACGTACCTCCAGATTGATCAACAGCTTCATGCCACAAGCTGTCAGAATGCTGAACTGCTGATCCAGATATGAAAACACT